CTAGCATGTGAGATGAGTGCAATTGTGCAGTAGTTTGAGCATTCTTTGGCATTGCCTTTCTTTGGGATTGGAATGAAAACTGACCTTTTCCAGTCCTGTGGCCACTGCTGAGTTTTCAAAATTTGCTGGTATGTTGAGTGCAGCGCTTTCACAGCATCATGGCTTCCCTATAACCTTAAGAGGCTAGCATTATTCTTCCCATTTTATGGATGTGGGAACTGCAGAGCTATTAAGTAGTGGAAACTATAGTCCTCCAGTAAATTTTAAGATACATATGTCTTAATAATAACTATAAGTATAAGCATCTTGCCAAAGTATTGGAACTATCTAACCCAAACTGGATCACGTTGTGACCTTTTCACCTTTATCATCTTCTCTGAGCCCCTGGTCCACATTGATTTTTTTTTCCCAAAGCTTTCATCTCAGTCAGTATCTGAGACTCCACGGACCAAAAGCAGGCAAGTCTAATTTTGAGGATTTCATATGAGGAAAGCTGCAGGGAGGAGCTGGTTCTGCTATTACTAATGTTATTGCAGTTGCCAAAGTGGAAGCCGAGATATTGCACACTTGGGAGATGGAGTAGTCTCTGGTTGCACTGTTCATCAGTAGCAATGCTGGTAAAATCCCATCTAAGAAGGCTTGACAGGGAGGTAAGGAATCACCTGAGCTTTGCAGACCCTAGAGCCTTGAATCCAAGAACAAACTCATTTTCCCATTTTTACCTGTGCCTGGATATGTTGTCCCTTTTCAAAGCACATTATGGACTCAGAGAGAATCTTCTTTTCAAGCATTCATGGGAAATGACCAAAATATATGATGCACTATGTCCCAGATTTGCAAATGGAGAATTGCCTAGGCCATAGTCCTTGACTGCACATGAAATGAAGCTAAGAGTGAATAACAAAGATTAAATTATGACATCTTGATTTGAGAATTTGAAAGTACTTCCCTTATTGGTAATGGCATAATTGGTAAAAGGAAAAAATTAGGAACAATGGAAATGTTCAACAATAGATGTAGAATGCTATGCAGTTGTTAAAATAATGTTTTATATTTTTATTGTTTTTTTAATTGTTTTATAACAATATTGTTTATATTATTGATGCCTGAGATGAAAATTAAACTTTTAGAAGTTGATGTGCTCATGAAAGAACTTCCTTCCAAGATTCATTCATTGAAATGGTAGTCCTTTATTTCCAACAACTCCTTGCTTGCAAAGAGTTTTAGGTGAGAGCAGCTTATGCCTTAGCGGTGATATGCTGATCAGGACTCTTCTGCTTTCCCAAAGCGAATTTTCTTAACAGATTAAAAAAGGAAAAAAAGAATGTCTATTATTACATCCTGAGTGCTCAGAACTGAGGAGAGATGTGTAGAGCCCTGTATAATGACTCAGTGAACTGACAGCAGTCATGGCGAAAGGTGTGAGAAACCTCATCTACTCTCTGTCACCGCAGGTTCTTAAACCACAGAGGGAGGAGGTAGGAGAAAATGCAGAGAAAATTAGATGGGCAAAGGCCATGGACAAGCTGGAAAACTTTATGGGTATAGTGACCACACCCTCTGAATTAAAAATTGACACTACGACTACGAGGATGGAACTGAAATCTCTTGGACTATTTGAGAGATCAGTTTTTCTAATTCTATGAAATCTGAATGGGAAATTCTACAGATTGTGTTCCAAGAAGAAGAAAGTCTAGTAGCTGTGCTTGGGGAAATCTTGAAGAAGTTGTAAAGTAGACTGATGATTTGAGAAATCTAAGAAAGCTGGAGTTTGAAAAGAGGTGTTTTAAATCATTTTTTTTTATTAAAAAATATTTGCTGTGGAAAATCATAAAGAAAATAAACCATATATAATTCCACCACTCTGAAATAATGACTTCTGGGGTTTTATTGTGTTTTTGTCTAGACTTTTAACTTGGATATATAATTTTAAAAATTATAGTAAAATATATGTATCATAAAATTTAGGGACTTTGCTGGTGGTCCAGTGGCTAAGGCTCTGTGCTNTGTATCATAAAATTTAGGGACTTTGCTGGTGGTCCAGTGGCTAAGACTCTGTGCTCCCAATATAAGGGGCCTTGGTTCAATCCCTGGTCAGAAAATTAGATCCCACTAAGAGTTTGCTTGCACGACTAAAGGTCCACATTTCACCATGAAGATTAAAGACCTTGTGTGCCCCGCCTAAGACCCAGCATAGCCAAATAAATAAATAAATAAATAAATATTTTAAAAAATGAAATTCATCATTTTACTCACTATTAAGTGGCATTAAGTTCAGTGGCATTAGGTAGTTTCACATCCTTGTGCAGACCTCATCTCTAAAACTCTTTCATTTTGTGAAACTAAAACTCTATACCTGTTCATCACTAACACCTCATTCTCCCCTCCCCCTAGCCACTGACAACCACCATATTTTCCACTCTTATGATTTTTAATTAAACACATAATATTTATTTAAAATTAAAATTACACTGCATATTATAGAGTTTTGTGCTCTGCTCTCTTTAATTAATATTAGATCTCTCATATCATTAGATAGTCTCACCAGCATCATTTTGCAATATATTCTGTATGGATGTTTCTTTATTTTTTTTATTTTAAAATTGTCCATAAACATACTTACATACAAAGTCTTATGAGTAAAAAAAAAAAAAAGTCTTATGAGTAAGCAACATTCTGTAGAATATTTTAAATAACCCCATAAAATTAACAGTTGTTGAAACTTGTTTGACAAAATAAGGTAAATACGATCATATAGTTTCTCACTTCTCTGTTTTGGTAGAGAAGCTTCACTTGTTAGAATAGAAACAAAAGAAAAATGGTTAACTAACCTATTGTTTAGTCAGTTTTCTGAGACCACCTAATAATGATTAACGTGTGCACCATCAGTCTACATTTTTCCCAAGTGTGATAAAACGCAAAAAACCTACCACTGTTAATGCGTGTTTGTCGCTCAGTCGTGTCCGACTCTGCAACCACATGGACTGTAGCCTACAGGCTTCCCTTTCCATGGAATTCTCCAGACAAGAATACTGGAGTGGGTAGCCTTTCCCTTCTCCAGGGCATCTTCCCAACCCAGGGATAGAACCCCAGTTTCCCCGCATTGCAGGCAGATGCTTTACCGTCTGAGCCACCAGGGAAACCCAAAGAACCTGAAGGTTTGAAAAATACTATCTTTCCTAAGACAGTTATAAGATCTCTGGCTTCACTTTCACCATTTCTGGTTTGGGCCAGTTTAGACTGAGTGAGTGAGTGGAGTGAAAGTCGTTCAGATATCTGACTCTTTGCGACCCAGTGGCCTATACAGTCCCTGGAATTCTCCAGGCCAGAATACTGGAGTGCGTAGTCCTTGCCTTCTTCAGGGGATCTTCCCAACCCAGGGATCAAACCCAGGTGGATTCTTGACCAGCTGAGCCAATTTAGACTAAATGCAAGAAAACCTGGGTGTAGGTTGCTTTTAACCTGAAAATACCGACTGAGAGGAATGCTTTTCACTTTGTGACTTGAGAACAGAAATAGGACAATCTTCCTTCAAAGGCTCTGGCAACAAGGCAGAGACCTGGTTTTGTCTCCTCCCATCCCCTTTAACTCTTGGCTCATCTGTTCAGGTGTTAACATGAGTTCTGTGTACTGTGATCTCTGTGGCAGGCACAGATCTAGTGGAACCTGAACCTGGTCATGCCCTTCTTTGGGACTGGAGTGCACCCCCCGTCCTCGCCCACCCAGAAGGAAAGAGCCAAACTTCTAGTTGTGGTGAAGGGGGGACTGTTGTTGTTGTTTAGTTGCTCAGTCACATCCAGTGCTTTTGCAATCCCATGGACTGTAGCCCGCCAGGCTCCTCTGTCCATGGGATTCTCGAGGCAAGAACACTGGAGTGGGTTGCCATTTCCTTCTCCAGGGGATCATCCTGACCCAGGGATTGAACTTGCATCTCCTGCATTGGCAGGCGGGTTCTTTAACACTGAGAAGGTGGGGTAGAATCCCTGAATTCTAAAATCCTATTTCCTCCCAAGGCCTCATTTCCCAGCAAGCCCTTCCTTATGACTATGTGCCAAGAATGAAAAACAAGTGTCTCTCCTTGAAATCTAGAAGATGTATGCTCGTGTGTAATGTCTTGTTCCGAGCATACGAAAACAGGCCAGTGCTGATGTTCAGCTGCAGCTAGAGCCATCCCAACATGGTGACCTCAAACCTTGAGGCCTCTCTTCATATGTCGATGCCACAATACTGCCAACGTTGTGAGGGCAACTGTCTAATCCAGAGAGGCCCATTTCCCCTGAAAGTGGCTTCCCTCCCAGGGTGGGTTCTTATTGGACCCCACCAGCCCCGACCAGTTCTCCTAGGTTTCCGTGTTGGCCGACAAAGATGGCTGTGCTCACGGTGACTGCCTCTACGTTCTCTGCACGCCTTCCCTTAATCAGGAAGTCAAGTTGTAAAGGCTCAATCCGGGGGCAGTCCCTACCTTTCTTGGCTCCTAATCAATTCCTGCCTTCCCTCAATCTGTATAAATAAATAAAATGTCCTTGAAATGAGGATATCCATAAGAATTAGGTTTTAAAATGATTTCCTGCTCAGGATACTGTCTGCATGCAAAAAAATAAATAGAAGGAACAATAGTAAATAGAAGGACAAAGTAAGTAATTAAACTTGAAAGCAAGTTTTGCTCTATAAAACCTGTTACGGAGCTGTGGTTGGAATTCTTTTTTTCCTTTTAAAGAAAAGGAAAAAAAAGGTCGATAGTGAAAAGGAAATAATCTGATTTGCTGAAATGTTTGGTCTAGAGGACTACTCCGTATATAGTCAGATGCAAAGTTGCCTCTGACTTCCTGAATATATTATGTCTCTGAGTATACTGTGTTTCTGATTTTTTTAAAATATGTTTTAGTTTCACTTTCTTTCTTTCTTTGTTAGGTACATGTTAAACCAACTTGTCCTACATGCTAGAACTGGCTAGTTTTGGTTGAGATACCTTTAGAAATTATATTAATTCAGAAGGTTTTGGAAAACAATGGCTGAATAATGCAGCTTTCAGTGTAATTTATTCCCAGAAACCTTTGCATTAAAAGATTCTGACTCAAAATATCTATTATGTTCATAGACAAACACATTGTTTTCTATTTTTGCAGGCATTTCCTGTTTAACTTTCATATACTCTGTGATGTAGGTGTGACTACTGTTTTGTTGATTCTTGTACTTGGACAAGCCAAAGCTCAGCAAAATCAAGTTCTTTTTCTTCTTTCTCTTCCCCTCCCCCTTGCCCCAAGGTCACTGTAAAAAGCAGGGATAGAATCAATGTTGGCTGCCTCCCAGCTTAATGTTCCATACCTTGGGTGAAGCCAGATCTTGGAGTGCTTTTCATTTACCTTCTCTCTAAGCAATCTGAATCAGGTAAATATGCTCGAACCAAATTAAAACCAAGGTTTTAATATGTTTATTTTTAGAATGATTTTATTTACAGTAATTGCTTTCCTGTTTTTCATGCAATACATTGTGTTCTGAGCAGGGCAAAGAAATCTATTTAAACACCCCTATCTGGTGACTTAGTCCATTTTCTTTGCATTTGATGATAACATCTGGCAGTACCCGAAGTTCCAATCCCAAGTGGTTCACATAATGCACAATGTTGCCCTTGTCTGGTTTTTCTCTAGCCTACATAACTGAGACGTCCAGAGGAAGAGCAGGCCTCTGGCCCAGCAAGTGTCGTCCAGGCCTGACCCGCGCTCTCCCCTCCCCGCCCCACTGCCCCGAGCTGCGCCATTCAGGGTCCCACCAGGAGAAGAAGCCACAAGGTCATCTGAACGGGGAAAGTTCAGTTACAGAATTATTCACTTTGCTGTCCATCTGAAATTGACACAACATTGTAAACCAACTCTACTTCAATAAGAATTATAAACAAGTGAGAAAAAAGAATGATTAACTATAGCAGGATATGTTAAACTTTAGATTGGCTAGGGACAAGTAGAGTCCAAAAGCATGCAGGGAGAGTGGGTATATGCAGCAATCCTCCCCCAGGGCTGCCAGAGCACCTGAGAAAGATCGAAGCACTTCCATCTCCCCACCTACATTTGGGATCCAGACCCTGCTGGAAAGGGCACAGCTGTGTCTCTCTGATGAAGAAACAAGCCATGGTCATGCTATTTCAGTGGAACTTGCTGGAAATCTTGCCCTGCAACTTACTGGAAATTTATTCCCATGGTGCTGGGTTCACGAGGAAGTGTACCTGATTGGTGCCTGCCCTGTCATTCCAGGTAGCCTGGTTCAACCAGGTGGACAAATATCTACACTCTTTTAGGTGGAGCTGGTAAATACTTACCTAGTACAGTACTGCCTAGAAAGGCCCAGGCAAAGACTGGTCTATTTCTAAAACTCTCAAAAGAATAAAATGACAATAGGTATTTTACCTTTGCATTTAAGCATTGCTGCAGTGGTCCATTATAATCACCAGGCAGAAAAGAGTTTAGAATGTCCACTTTTACATTTATGAGCATCAGACCATAGCACACACAATAAAGCCCTATGGTCCTCAGAGTTCAGTTCAGCTGCTCAGTCGTGTCTGATTCTTTGTGACCCCACGGACTGCAGCACACCAGGCCTCCCTGTCCGTCACCAACTCCTGGAGTTTACTCGAACTCATGTCCATTGAGTCAGTGATGCCATCCAACCTCCTCATCCTCTGTCATCCCTTTCTCCTCCTGCCTTCA